AAGAAATTACAATGTCCATGTGCCAGAGACACTCACTGGTAAGCAAGTTGGCTTATCACTTCTAAAACATACAATTTTAAAAGTAATAATAAAAGAAAAGAAAGAGCTACAAAGAGGTTGGAAGACTGGAAATACAGCCTAAAACATAGCACCCTGCACAAAGAGCTTGTAGGAATGTTGCAATCCTGTTCTAGACTTCTCCATTAACTGACTGCAGAAAGTAGACATGGTACTCAGTGATCTGAGATTCTATGTGTGCTATAAAGGGTGGGCCCAACCTTTTGAAATATGGTCATTGATAATATCTTCAATATTGGAGGTATTTTCCTGATAAAAAGCTTTAAGTATTTTAAGGATCACTTCATCATCCAGAGATTTTACCCACACAATCCAACTTGTTGTAGCTTTCAAAGGTAGAGTGTAAGTCAGCTAGAATCCACCTCTGGTATCAGCCCCCTAATGTGGAAGTATCAAGGCCCTTTCCTGAACCCTCCATGGGTTACATCAAGGATTTTATAAAAGATACCTAAAAGCAACATCTTTGTTTACGTTTTTCTCCTCAGTTGGATCTTTAGCTTCTGAGTGGCAGGGAATCTTCCTTATTGCTTTTGTAGCCCTAGTGTCAAAGGGAATATTAAGCAATATATAAATATCTGTCAAACTAATCCCAATGCTTCAGATTTAGGGTAGGCTCCTGAGCAATACTCATTCTCAGAGACTGGAACTGGTATTCTCAGAACCTCACTTTGCAATTCATACCACAAGTAAAGGAAAGTAAAGCAATGGCTGCTTCTTGACACCAAGAGTTGTTCAAGAAAGAAGTACTTCCAGGGTGCTACCATCCAGCAGGAGAAACTGTCTACCCGATATCCTGGCATCAATGAAAGGAGAGTGCATTACGTCATCCGTGGAGCCCTAAGGATAGGTTTTTCAGTTGCTATTGAAAGCATTTAATGATTACCAATGCAAGCTTTTGTTGCGACCTTTTAAAACAAACTCACTGTCTAAGAAAATATTTGTCAATAAAAGCCTTGTAGGAATGGCACACATATTTTAATTGTGACTAGGGCCTGGCCTTGTCCCCTTCTGTGGTGATACATAGACTACTGCCTTTGAGGTTTTGTAAATGAGGTCCTTAAGCCCAACACCTAGTCACCTTGCTGATTAAATGAGGAAGAAAGGACAAAATATCCAGGCTGGGTCTTATTAGGCACAGTAAATCAGCGAATTCTTTAGAGGCCACTTCCTTTGGCATGATTAGAGGAAAGAGTCTGTTTTAAAAGCGAAACAATCTATATGAATTGATATTAGCAGTCCCCCTCAGTTGAGTCTTGGCAAAATGCTACTTTCTGTATCACAATGATCACAGTCACTTTCAATAAATAGATTGAATCACATTTAGTAAGAGAGCTGTCATGTACTATGATGGCTCACAGGACACATTCTTTGGCATAGCCATTTTAAGACTAACTAGTATGCTATATGATCTAAGCCATTACAGGAATTCTCATGAGTGATTAGTTCACTCTCAACTCTAAGTAAAGCAGGTTTCCCTACAGACTAAGATTTTAAGTATTCCTGGATGACTCCTTCCTGCACAAAGAAGGACTAAATCAAATAATTTGGAGGCTCATGCATATAAAAGAGTCTGATGGGACCTTCACTTTGAACTTGCTAGAACGTTATCTCCATCTGGGATTCCAGCCTCTATCTGAGATTGCGAAAAGGAGAAATTTAAGCCTTTTGTGAAAATATACCCAGAGATAGATGTTGGAACTTTTCAGTTCATCCTATCTTAGGGCTTTACCTCAGAAGGAGACCTGAGCTTTACCTCATGGTAGGGGAAACTCATTCACATTCAATGCTTCTCTAAGAAAATCTGCATACCATATAGCCTTTCCTTTTTTGTATTCTTAACACAGATTTATGACCATTGCAATTGCTTCATATTTTGCAGGGTGGTGCCCCTGGTCCCCTGTCCTTTTCTGCCTTCCCAATATTCCCTGTTTGAAAAAAAGAGTTTCATATTTTAAATATTTTAGACTCAGCAGCAATAAATGTTTTCAGGCTTTGGATAACAGTACCACTGCTAAGACAGGAAGAGTTTAAAACATCTGTGATGCCAAACTTCAAGAAAAAGGAAAAGAAAAAAAAATAGCAAAGCATTGTTTGTCAGACTGTCACTAAACATTGTCACTCAGAATCAGTCCCATTTGTAAATGAAAATCTCTATTGCAGGGTCTGAAAAAGAAAAGCTTAGGATTTTCTAGGAGAAAAAAAAAGAGAGAGAGAGAGAGAGATCATCTTTTCTAGCTAAAGAATAGAAGCTTTTAGATTATTCCCCGGAAAGGTTTATAGGGAAAATAAATAACTCTAAGAAGAATGGCATGTCTATTATGCGGCTGTTATTAAGATTTCAAAAAACAAGGAGGGATACTGCAGAACCCATTTTAAGTGGTGATTGTCATCTAGTGGAGATCCACTTTTAACCCAAGATAGTTTTATTTCAAACCGAGGTCAAGGAAATGAAAGGTTCTTTTGGCATGCGTCTGATAAATCAGGCTGCTTTTGCCAAACCTCCTGCTGATAAATCCTGTGTTTCCCTGGTTCAACTCTTAAACAGTTTGTGAGAGTGGGAGATGGAGGACAAGGCAAGATCTCCTACTCTAGGCTCAATTTCCCCATCTAGCCGTCACCTTCATTTCTTAGTTCCTTGAAAATAAAAAAACATAAAAGGCATCCCTGCCATACCTGGTGGGAAAGCACTGGAGTTGAACTTGTCACCCTCTTAATCCTCTTAAGATGACAGAGCACTGATTTCTACATCTAATTACCGAAGCCTAATTATTGCTGCACCGAAATCAACTTGGCACAAGAAAATGTGTGCCACATTCCCAGGAATAAGACCCACTGGTCTCCTTCTCTTCGTGTTAGTGGTGACCTTATTTACAGTCTTGTTCAAAAGCAAACTTCGTCAGAGATTCAAAGTCACCCCTTACAGGCATCTTAAGCGCAAGCCTAAAATGGGTGTTGTGAGAAGGTGGGTAATGAAGTTAGGCTTCACAAGTGGAAATTACTAATTTATTAGAGTTCTTTGAGATGGAAAATAGGCATGTAGATAAAGGAAAACCCATAGATGCATTCTACAAAATCTTTAAAAAGCACTTTTGAAAATGTTCCACACTGAGAGTTACTAATAAATGTAAATGCTAATTCCTAGGGTGAAGGAGAACTCTTTTATCTCAGAAACTAAAGTTGCTTAAGATATGAATATAAAACGTTCCAGAACATGCATGATTATGATTATTTCTTGTATAGGAAGAAACCAGAAAGGAAAAGAATGAGGGTCCCTGGAGTCAAGTTGTGATGAATTATGTTTAATACACCTAGTTCATGATGTTAATGAGTGGCATGGTTCCAGGGGCATGACTCACTACTAAATACTTTGTGTCAGTAGATCATGACCATGACCCAGATAGCTTTCTTTTAAAATCTTAAATCCCTGTTTGAAAAAAGAGCTCCGTATTTTAAATATTTTAGACTCAGCAGCAATAAATGTTTTTCACATATTTTCATGTGTGTGTGTGTGTGTGTGTGTGTGTGTATGTATTGAGCTAGGGATAGAAACACTCTATCACTGAGCCACATCCCCAATTGCCTGACATTTTAGAACTAATTTGTTCTTTGCCAGGCACTCTGCTGAGAACTTTATGTGAATTAATTATATTATCATCATTTATAAAACCATACAGATATCACTGTATCCATTTTACAGGTTAAGTAACTGAGATACCAAGCAGTTAAATGATTTTTCCAAAATCATGAAGTAAGTGGCAGAGATCCAAGTACGTAAAGTAAAATTGTTCTTAATGAGGATGTAGGAGAAGAAAATGAGCAGTATTGATGATTCAGTCTGCAGTGCTTCCCCAAAGACCTTAGGTATAGTCACTTCTATTGAACATTGTACTTCAGCTAGGAACATATTTATTAGCCTTCATCGGCTATTAATTTTTTGGAATAGGTACCACCTGTTATTAATATGGCATTAATGATGAGAAAGAACATAATAGCAACAAATCACTGGATTTTCCTCTCTATTTACTGATCGGGAATCAGTTCCTTTTGTTTTGCTTTTGCTTTGGGATGTGTGTGTGTGTGTGTGTGTGTGTGTGTGTGTGTGTGTTTTCAGATTCAGGCAACGACATAGGTTTATGGAGGCTTAGTAAATAGAAACAGTGAAATAAGAAGTGAAATCATGGATTTATTTTCAAAAGTGAATCAAGTGTGTGTGTGTGTGTGTG